AACCGGTGAAAAGGCCCGGATTCGGTCCAGGGTGCTGAAGGACGAGTGGAATTCCGCCCTAACCATGATGGGACCCGACCACTTTCGCAAATGTTTGGATCCCCTTCACATCCCCTTCATCAAAGCTTCACCTTTGAGGGTCCTTGGTTCGCGAAGGGGCGATACCTTTTACCTCTCAACAAACCGCGACTCAATGAGGCTTATCAAGTTGGAGTGCCAAGCATTGCCCTTCAGCCCAAACACGACCTGGACCTGGCATCTAAAGATGTTGGGGGTAGTTGATTTATGTTGATGTTCAGGGGGTTAATAGGGCGGCATTTTCGCCTATTTCAGTTTTCATCCCATTCCTTCCATATTGGCCTTTCTTTTCGCCGGAGACCACCGAGACTCCGATGGCATCGGCCATGGCCACTTTGATGGTCATCGCTTGACCGATCTTCATGAGCCTCAGTCCATCGCTCGAGTCGATTCTCGAGTGCCGCTCGCTCTAGCGAGCCCAACGGTTTCCGTTTGATCCCCACATGAACCCGTTTCGCTCGCTGGCTTGACAAACGGTTCGTGTTTGACTTTGACTAAACGGTTTCGTTTGTATATTATGTCAAACCAAATAGGATCCCATTTATAACATAACTGATGATCCCATTTATGTCAAAATATGATCATCTGCATACATATGATCATAAAGTATTAGGATGTCAAACAAATTCAAACAAAATATGGTGATCCCCGTAGTATAGTGGTACGGTTTCCAATAATCACATGTTCTACGTGGGGATCTATACTTGCCTATCATTTTCTATCAAACATCGTAAATTGGTCTCCAATACATTTCGGTGGGGATCTACTGTTCTATCTATCTTGGGAACTACTAATTATATGGGTGTGTATTAAAATATGGGAGTCTCCGAAAGACCTCCTGGAAGAAGGAAACTAGACTCAACACCATTATATTGGGGGACGGTCCCTTATTTAAATACACATTGGATATACATCTGATGGTTTGGCTCGGATATAATTTTTGGCTCCGGCCGCCTTGGTTTTCGACCATGCAATTATTTTTGCCCAGGCTGCCTTGGTTTTCAACCATATACTGTAAAAACTGGAAAAATGCATCATATTGCATCATCAATGTATGGTCTAAGAATGCCTAAGATGTAAAGCAATGGTTCTTCGGGACTTCTTCAACCGGTGCTCCATCCACGGGAAGCAAAGCGAAGCAACGCTTGCTCGGCGTGTTTTATCGCGGCTTCACCGGCTTCCCTTCGTGTGACGAAGGATCCGGTCAAAGGATCCGATTGAGCTTGGACCGAAAGTGGGACCCGGATCTGTCCTAGGGCTCCTGACCTACCTCCTGAGAAGAAAGGGTGGAGGTTGCTTTGGGGGTGGCTTCGGGCTTTTTGTGGCAGCCACACGTGGGGTCATAGCACCAAACGCCCGTCATGAAAACCCGGGAGATGCGTCTATCATCGTCTATCCTGTAAGGTCGCCTATTATTGTTCATGTCGGGTCGAGACCCCAGTGATACGGAGACATTCGGACCCTCACAAATCTCTAGCTTATTGAGGGACTGGTCCGTTTGGACCAAATTGACATCCTTTTTGAAGATTTTGGGGTACACAAGTCAAATGATGTCAAATGCTTTGCGGCAATCCTCCACTGACTGCTTGGGATCGAAGGTGGGATGTGTCTATTGAAATACAAACATCAGGTAGGTTTGAACACTCTGTCATTCAGGAAGGAAATGAATCAAACATTCTTGCGTGATTCCAAACGGTTGAGTCACCAGTCGATCAGAATCATAGTGGACAATGTATTCCCATGAGGGTTTTATTCATGCACACTGCACACTTGGCTGGCATAGTGTGGAACATGGCACTCACTTACGCGGTGCCGGGAAGCGGATTGGCTGCCTGACGAAGTTGGAGATTCTGTGACATCTCTCCAGCACCACCCATTTTGGGTGCTTATTGGAAGGAAGATACATACCAGGACCCACCAGAGATGGTTAATGAGTGTTAATGGACACCTAAGGGGGCTATAAATAGCGTAAATAGACATCCCCTGGGTGGATCTGGTATAGATCAACATGGTCTTTGGACCACCCGAACTGGGTGGTGCTGCTTGATGGATCTTCTCATTCCTGGAACACTCCGGATTCTCCCGGAGTTCTTGGGCGGCCTGGATGTGTCTCTGCCGCTCTGATTCATTGCTAGCGGCGGCGGATGACGGATTTGGCCAGCTTCGCAAAGCGGTTCAGAAAGGCATTGAGCATGTCTCATCCCTTCTCAACGAACATGGTACCCTTCGGGTACCGCTCTCAAGAAAGGGAAACTGCTAGCGATCCGCCAACAAAGAAACGATAAGAAACGTGTATAGAGCAGCATCACTTAGTTCAAGAGCCAAAGCATTGTGTGGCGGTTGGCTACATGTTTCAGCAGATCATCCCTCGAGGGAATCAAGCTCTGTTTTGATGCTTCAAGCCTGCATCTGCAGCCTTCACAGCGGCCTCATTCTGTGCTTGAGCTATCTGTGCCTGCTCCGCCGTGCCTGTTGGCCTCCAATCTCTTCAGCGACCTTGTCTTCGGAAACGTTCCAAGCAAGGTAATCATTCAGACTCATTTACAGCAACTACACGGCTAGGATGCAGCCAAGAAAAGCGTGCTCTCCTCTGCATGTTTCGTCCTTTTCAACTCGCAGAGCTCCCTCAACTCTGAACGGACTGTTCCGTCGGGTGGCTTTTCAGACCATCAACACACATCCACTCACACGTACCGCCCACAAAACCTCTCAAACACAGACAAACACCTCTCAAAACTCATTCTATATTAGTGGATGTCTATCCTCAAACCAAAACACATGGTCTTTCCGCTTGACTTTCCCTCCCAACTCCACCACTTCCTTCGAGTAGCTCCGGGTCGGTGTTGCAATGGCTCATCGCTGAGAATCGGCTGGCCGTTCCCAGGTCCTGCTGTTCAGAACCGGTGGATTTGCGGAACCAAAGAATTAAGTTAAACATATATTCACCAGACCAGAACATGGGATTTAACCATATAATAAGGAACATTAAACAAAAAGTACATTTTTCAGCAACACCAGGTCAGAACCGGATTCTACCCTTGCTGCCGCTTGCTGTGTCGGTCAGGAAGTCAGGGTCGGTTCCGTCTACCTCCTCCGTTTTGGGACCGAAGGCTGTCTGGATCGCCCTGCCACCCGACGCGACGCATCCGTCGACCGCGTCACACGTGACGGGTGGTTTTGCAGACCGGGTCGACCGCGTCGATGGATCATGCGGCCGACGCGATGGATCAGGTTCCGGAGGGGTTCAGAGGCGCAGGAACGACGGATGCTTGGACTTCTTCTGCGTCCGTTCGCTCTTAGCTCTTTGCGTCATGATGTGATCGCGGGTTTCACCAGTTCCTCCGCTCCCAGGAAGGGAGAACATGCAACAAGCTGGCCGACTGGTATGGGGCCTTTGAGTCAAAATCCCGTATCACACCTTTTGGGCTTAAGACACTTAAAAGAACGCCTTGCATATACATGAAATATCATGAAATCATATGAAATCAACATTCAGTAACATATTTGAGAAATCTTCACCATCATCCAACAACAACACCAACACGCAAGACCTGGTCTGCAGAATTTTCCCGCATCTACACCGCAGACCACCGCTCTTCCCAAACAAACACGAACCGCATCCCGCGGCCGTTGCCACCTGGCCGTTGCCCGGGTGCCCTTCCCGGTCGAAGCGTGCGTTCCTCGCCTCAGAGAGGGTATGGAGCATAGGACCCTTGAAGTGCACCGGCTCCTGCGGGCGTGGCCATTTGAGGCGAAAGCGATTTTTGAGGCGTTTGGATCGATGGAGATCTGGGGCATTCGCATGGCATTCGTTCGGTTTGGTAGGGGGAATGATGGGTCCGACTCACTTAGTGGAAGGATGTTGTTGGAGAAAGGGTTTCAACAACATGGCTGGAGCCTTTGAGGTTTTGGGAGTGTCCTGGAATGTGTGGCTCAGTCCAACAAATCTCTCTAGGACTCACAGGTTTGTGGTCTTCCTTCATCTGGTAGAGCGCTTGTATACCTGTTGTTCATTGTGGCGCACAAATTCTTGAGCCCTAGCCATACGAACTCTGAGACACATTTCTGGCATTTTCTGGCTGTAAATCCAGTTGGATGGTTCCAAGAGTTGTCCTTCTTGCCGCGACATCGCGAGACCCTGCCTTGAGCTCCGGAATGGCAACATCCTGACAGGGTGAGCACCCTCGAGTTGATGCATCCGGAAAGAGAAACGTTGATCTATAGATGGATCTACCAAATAGGGAACCAGGACTGGCACCAAGCCTTTCTCGACTGTCTTGGTCCAGAGCATGTGGGAAAGGACCCTCGAAAGTAAGCCAAAACATCACTGAGCCTGGTTGTGGAATGCACTGGATGCCTAGTGTTTGGATTGAAGCGTCAACGGGGTCCATAGGTAGAGATTGGGTCTATCCTCCCTACCTGGCCCCTTATCCTCAGGTTCGGTGGTTAGACCCTCCTGGCACCCACCCCACCATCTTCAAAACGGAGGTGATTGGAGCTCCTATTTTTTTTCACAGGAAGTACCAATAGTGTCCATGGATCTAGTGTGAGGCAAAGGTAAGCCAGGTAAGCACTCAAAAAAGAAAACTTCAACATGTACAAAATCCGGCTGCAGTGATCTGCAGCATGGAAGTACGAAAAGCATGGCCAAAGGGGCAGAGCACAGCGGAGCTGTCTCCAGCCTTGGAAAAGAGAAGCTAAATTGCGTGGTGCGAGAGGCTACACTGGAGATTCACTGCCTCTGAAGGCTTGAGAATCCTTCTCGGCCATGCCCAACAACATGAACCGAGAAAAAACAAGGATATGGGAGGCTCCGTCGTTGCTTGGCAAGGAAAGAGCCGAGTCCCATTCGGACGGTAACAAAAACATGCACGGAAATTGAATTTAGCTACTGGGGGGTTCAGTCTCTCCGACCAAGATCATCAAGGAGTGTCGAAATGCAAAGCCCCTGCAGAAGGGTTGTCGCCGGCTCGGCGAAGAATCGCGCGAGCATTTTCCCTCTGCAAGGTCAACGACAGGGACTGCTGAAGTCGGTCGACAAGAACCGAGGCACTGTCGCCAGCGCGGCCGGCCACGGCACGAGCCACTTGTTTCCAGGTGGCGACAGCAGTGGGCGCCCATCCTCCAGCACATGCTTCAGCAACAAGTGGAACAAACTGGATCCCCGCCGCGTCACAGGATGCCTCGGTCTGCTGGTGAGCACGCTTGCGCGCCTCGTAATCTGCTGCGGAACGTCCGCCCTCTTGAGCAGAGCCAGCTGTTGCACCAGTACGTAGCCCAGAAGTGACGGCCAGGTCAAAGGCAGCCGGCCCCCCGAAGGCCCCAGTGCGGGATGTACACATCTGCAGGGCGGCGGCCATTCCCCTGCCGAGTGCCATCCTCAGAAGCTCCATTGTGTTCACACCGGGGGGGGGGAGAAGCCCAGGCTTTTCGATTTCCGGATGTAAGCCCGCGGCTTCTGCCCAAGTAGCCACTACTGTGCGAAGTCGGTTGTGCCTCTTGGTGCGGTCACCTCCGCAGGGGCACACTCGTGCATGGTCCCCATAAGTGTCACAGACTCCATCACAGAAGCGGCAAGGGGCATCTTCTGAATGCAGTTGGAGCCGAAGCCGGAGGCGAACCATGATGCGGAACAGCGCACTGTCCACGTGAAGCCCGAGCGCGGCACAGGGCAAGGCCTGCAGCCACGCGCCAGCCCCTGGTTCTTGTAAAAGTTGAAGGTGTGCTCGCGCAGCTTCATGCCCAGGCCCAGATAAGGCAGAAGCAAGCTGCACCGCCGTGTTCCGATCCACCGCCCGTGACAAATCCTGTTGTCGAAGGGAAGGCGGCGGTGGGAAAGGAACATGGTCAGCAGCAAGCAACGTTCCATTCAAGTTGGAGATGATGGCGTCCAAGCTTGGGCTGTATTGCTGAAGGATCAGGGAGCAGGTCCCAAGCGTGGCCAGGACAGAGGCAGTGTAAGCTGCCCCACTGTGACGAACCACGCTTCGGAGGCCAAGGCCACCAGTTTTCGTGGATAAGGATGCTTGTATGCAGGCTGCCGGGGTGAGCGGCCCCGAGCAGCAAAGTTCAAGACACTGAAGAACCGCAGAGTCGTAGCTCTGCAAGGCATCCTGGTGAAAAGGCGGCGGGGTGACCCGGCAGGAATAGACCAATTTCGACCACGAAGCACAATGTCGTAGCAGCAGCAGCGCGGTCTGACTGTCGGCTAATTTGCTCAGAGCTTGCAGGAGGGGCTTGGTTTTCTCTGCCCGTTGCAACGTGTGCTGGTGGCAAAAGCCGGGGCTCCCGACCGCGGCCCCGAGAAGCACAAATTCTCCGGTATCGTTAACTTGGAAACCGGCTGGGAAAAGGCTGGGATCCAGGTTGGTCTGAGGGCCATTCAGGGTCGTGAGCTCGCACTTGCTGGCGTTAAGCTGGAGCCCAAGCTGGCGCGCCGCGTTCACCAACCGGCCCACAGCAGCACTGACAGCCGCGCAGTCACCTGCAAGGCAAACATCATCCAAGTAAGCAAAGCAGAGGTCAAGCTGACCCCGGCCGGCAGCTGACAGAGCTGGCTGGAGTGCTAAAGCAAACAAAAGGGGCCAAGTGGATCTCCTTGCTGCACGCCGGCCTCTGAAGTGAGAACCTCTCCTTGGAAGAGCAGCTTTGTGTGATGGCTGTAGCACCACTCTGCCCACGGGGAAAGGGCCGGGAGCCGGAGGCGCACCTCCCTCAACAAGGCTGCGCGGTCCACCGTGTTGAAAGCATTCGCAAAATCCAACTTCAGGAAAACTTTGTTGGGGTTGCTACGGTTGGCATGGACCCAGTGCCGGGAGCAATGCACCGCTGCTTCAGACCCAAGTGGGACCGCCACGCCAATCTGCAGGGGAGCCAACCAGGCACGAGCTTCGGCTTTCACTTGAGAGCACAGACACTTGGCCACCAGGCGCCGGAGGGTTTCCCCCACAGCAATGGGTCGGACATCGTCGGCCCCTTTGGGCAGGGCGTGCAGAGTGGCGCCGGCGAGGTGCTGGGCCAACTCCAGGGGGGGTTTCTCCGCGCGCCAGCAGCTGCACAACTCGGGTGAGGTGGGCTGCAACTTCATCCCCATGGGCGCTGTCCAAGGCCTCCCGCAAGTGTTCCCCACGAAGGCCAGACGGGCCGGCAGCGCTACCACAGCGAAAGCTGCGGGCAGCCCTGACGACATCTTCGACAGAAAAGTCCGGGGTGGATCCGGCGGGGCAAGGCCCAGATCCAAGCAAACTTGGCCGCGCTGGGGCGGCGGTGGGGTGTTTCGCCCGGAGAGCTGCAAGGACAACAGCTTTTTTTTCCAGAAGAAGCGGGTCAACAAGCGAAGCGCAAGCCCGAGAAAGTTCCCCCTCTGCAGCCAAGGCCATGCAACGGGCTTGCCGCCCAGTGTCGAGGGACTCATCAGTGTCATCATCGCTGTCCGCACTGCTGGGGCGAAAGCGACGGGCGGCCCCCCCCGCCGGTTGATTTCCCAAAGCTCGTGCCGTTCTCCTTCGAGCCAGCGAGCGCAGCGACGCTGGGTGAAGGCACAGGTTTGTAGTTGACGGTGGGCCCCTCCCCGTGGCGGAGGCCGCAGGACGGCTTTAGGCAGCATGCAAAGCTCAGCCCATGCAGTCATCGAATTGCGATCTGCAACGGTGGCAAGCTGCCACCCTCCCTGCTTTCGTTGGCATGCCTTGGGGGAGGTGCTGCCGTTGTTGGGGGCGGCAGCGGGGATGGGTGCCGTTCGACCGCTGGGCCACCGTGAGGCCACAAACACTGCAAAGGTCCAGGTTGCGGGCCGTCAGGTAGGTGCTCGGGATGCCGCCCTGCAAGGAGCCGGAGGCCTGATCATCCAAGTGTGCCCGCATGCTCGCGTGGGAGCCCCAACCTCTTGCAGTGCTGGTGTTGGAGCACGGGCACGCAGGCACTGGGCAAAAAACACGAGCAGGAGCTCCACGAGCAGGGGACCGCTCACGGGGGGCGGGATCCAAGTCCATGCGTCGTGGCCGCTCGCCGCCCACCGGTGTGCCCGGTTGAGGAGGCCCTGGGTTGGCCGCTTCTCCGACCCGGACCCCCGTCAAGCCGCAGCGTCTGGCCATGCGACGGCGTCGCGCTGCAGGGGAATGATTGGAGGCGTGGCCAGAACGTCAATCGAGGTCCAGTGATGAACTTCGTCTGCACATTCTCTTGTGGAGGAATCGATCCACGTGCTACACACGTGAAGCAATTCTGCAAATCCACATTGACACCGTAGTCAGTGCTGGGAGCAGCGTTCCAATTCGGATCGATTCCGTTGAAGGCGTTCAGGTCTGTGAAGTACCGGAACATGATGGCCACAACGAACTCGACATCCGTCCATGAAACTGTTCTCACACTGGACAGAACCGTAGCGGTGCCGCCCGCAATGATCACTCGGGCCAAGAGTTCGCCAGAACTCCTTCCCGATGTTGCAGCAATCCCAAGGATGCGCTCTTGAAGTGCACCCATCTGGTGTAAGCTGCCAAAGCTTGAGTCACGGTCACAGGAGGACCGATGGGCCGAGCAACACCAGGGGCCGGAGGTGGTCCAGCATAGGTGAGCAGGGCATTCATCAAAGCTCCAGCGGTAGCTGCATCAACCACCGTGTTTTCTGCAAGCACGGAGATGACTTCCGCTTTGAACGGAGGGTCATATAGATAAGGTCGGGTACCAGTAACCGTGGATGGTAATGATTAGATTGCAGGCCTTGTTCAAAAATCGTGACAATTCTTCACCGACTGTTAGAGGTATAAGTTCGGACAAACCCAAGGTAGAATCTGAAGCGAGCTTTGGGGTGAGAGGGGAAGGGTGTGAAGTTGACTAAACACTTCATGTAGGGCATATATATATATATCACAACATTGAGGTTTTCCTAGACCTGGAAGTCATTGGGGTTCTTGGAGCTACACTCCCTGAATGCATCATAGCGACGTGTGTTGCCCTGACCCTTTTTTGGATTCCACGACAGGTGGTGCCCTTTTGACGTCACCGGATTCCATGATTCTTTCGTGTATTGTATCTCCACTCGGTTCTTGAGAAGCTGTGGGTCCAGAATCTGCCGAATCTGCAGGCTTCGTACCGACGGTACAGCCAGCTCTCGTAGCTCGAAGACGGTCTGGACCGACAGTACAACGGTTCCGACAGTACAGCCCGGGGGGGAACTGGGAAATTGCGGGTGTTCAAATATTTTCAAGATCAATCAATACTTGTTCAATACTTGGTTACAAGCTATACTGCTATACTAAATATACTTAATATACTTATTCTATGTTTTTCCTTTCTGGGGTTTTGCTATGTATCTGGGGTTTTGGCTTGTGCCACAGCTGTGTACTGTAGTATCCAGAGTTTGGAGCATGCAGCTGGTGTAAAACATCATCAGCCAAATGCTCTTGCACAGTGTCAGCGCTCTTTGAAGTGCAAGTTCACTATACACTCGCAGTGCGCGCATTTCAACTAACAGGTTTTCTTGCATTTCAACTGAGTGGAAAAAACCGTTCCTGCAGGGAACAACATATTCTCACAGTATTGTGGGAATATGTATTATATATGCTAGATAGATATATATATATTTGGGGAATGTCGGTGTATGTTTTCACCCTCGTCCCCGTCGTTCGGTGGTGGCTCAAAAGCTTGGACTATACGGGCAGTGCCTGGGGCCCAGAAACGTTTATTGCGTGCGCAAAAAACAATTGCTTTTGAGCCACCACCCCCAACATCCGGCAGCGGTGGCTGCCCTGCAAAGGTCTGGGCAGCATGGTTCCTCCCAACCTTGGTTGCAAGGCTGGGTGAATCAAGTTGCGTGGACCAGACAATCTCGAGTCGGGGTGGCTTCGGAAGAAGTATCTCTACACCCGGGCAGGTTCTCCCTGCATCTATCATCGGCCACCGTGGGGGTACTCAGCTGAAGTGCCCAAACTATTCCGCAAAATTTTGTTCGCAACACACTTTGTATTGTGGAAGTGTTGGCAAAATCCAGTGCACTTCACATGGACCGATTCATTGAACTTAACCACGCTCAAGGTGTTCATTCGTAACCCGTTGCATGCAGCAGTGGTGTTGGATTTTCCATTGAAGAACAGAACAATTTTTGATGATTTCTTTGCAGTCATCTTTCATTGAACCAGTAGCTGAGCAAGCAGCATCAAACAATGTTTCGTCGATCTTGGCTTTCTGCAGCTGTTTGGTGTGGGGGCTGCCCGCGGGAAGCTCGCAGGCGTGGTTGGTGTGGGGGTGATTGCACAAGTGAATGAAATTCAACCCCATCATTCTGCAAAATCAATCTCCGCCAGGCGGCGGTGGTATCCATCCCTGGCTTTCGTTCACCAGGCCTTGGCGCAACGGGTCTTTGTCGACCGTGGGTTCCTACTTTGTTTGTTGTTTGGGGTCTAGAACCCACCCACCGCACCAGGTTGCCTTCAGCGACGACTTGGTCATCCCTTTGCGCCATCCTAAATACCGTTTACACATGTATTTAACATTGTGACATTGTTGAAAAACACGGGGTGTCGAGGTGTGCCTCATGTGGAGCCAGGCCATCATTCCGATGATTTCACGTCGCATGTTCTCATTCTAGTGACGTCTCATTCTAGTCTAGTGATTTGGCGGTTCAGGAGAGGAATCGAAGCCGCTCTAGATCCCGCTCTCCACTCGACGGAGTACCGCCCTTGAAACATTTTGGTAGTGGTCAGGAGCTGCAAAGGTTAAACATGAACACGGAGCATGAACGCAGCCCAACAAGGCCGTGGAAGAGGTCCGACCTGGATTTCACCGCCAGGCGCAGCTGTGAAACAAACGCGACGCCGTGAAACTGCTGCCTATCGTCTGCGTGAAACACTGCCATGCATAGTTTTGGCAGGATGCCATACTGGACTGGTCTCCTTTGTACTGTTCTCAGCAGCTTGTTCAGGGTGCGTTTTCTTGCATACGAACAATTGCCCAGGATTGATGATTTTGGACCATATCCATTGAGGCCCCGAAACCTATTTCCGAGTACGCCAGACACGGTTGCCGATTCTGATGCTTCTACTGTGGCTTGTTGTGATGAATCTTTTCTCGCACACAGGTTGCTCTAAATGAGTGGTTTGACCATGCCTGGTTTTGGTGACAAACACAAGTAACATCATATCTTGTATCTGAGTCATGAAATGAGGAAATGAAGCCTACCATTGGTGCTAACACCAAGAAGCGGGAGATCGCTGCTCTTGAAGCCCAAGACATTCTGGCCAGGGTCCCAACGCACAACATGATGTATAGTGCCCAGGGTTCACGACATGTTGCATGATATGTGCAGCTGCACTGCACCTCTGATGAGGATGACCATGTCCACCGAACCGCTTTTGCTAGCACGGTGCTCACAGAAGCCTTTTCCTCAGTCATGTCGAGCAGCGCCCACTAGATGAGCGAACTGTAAAGAGCTGTGCTGTTGAGGATGTTGGGGATGCTGTATAAACATATTTTGTCATGTGGATGTTTCATACAAAATAGGTCTATCCAACAATAGCTTTATACAAATAATATCAGATTTGTTCACTGGCAAGTTTTCATTCATTTAGCCCGCAATGCAACGTTCGCCGCTTTGAGGTCAAGACCTTGTTGCATCGGTCGTACTCTTTGGAGCTTCCTGTCAAGGCTTTGCGTCGGGCATCGCTTATGTTGTCGGAAGCTGAAATTCAAATGGAAGCGGGCGAATATGACCCAGAGTTTATTTTGAGCTTGTCGCGAAGGACGACGCTCAACTTTGATCCATCCTTTGACTCAAATGGGTCTGACTAGTGTTTCTTTGACGCCTTGGGGATCCATGCAGGGTGGTGTGCAATGGAAAACTGTTCACGTCCAACCCGCTTCAGAAGAATGCTTCACACAGTTTTGGAAGCTACTCCGTAAAGCATTTTGCTTCTGTGTCATTTTCCATGTCAGACATCTTGCTCAGAGCTTTTTCTAGCCGTTTCCATGCCTCTGAGCGACATCGAGGACCTCAGTGAGCCTGGACCTAAATTGCCAGTTCTTCTAGGATTCGATGAACGCTTTTTAGAACAGCCATGTAACATGTATGTGAATATCTATAGATGACCACTCTGAGTTGCCCTGTGAAGGCTGTGATGAAGGCTACCCATGCATTCCCAGTTCACTTAAGTCTTTTATTCTTGAGTTGCAACTGTTACAGCCTGCAGGCTCCTTCGACCAAAAATCCCAAGTTCGGAAGCCTCAACCACAAGCGTGGTCAGGTGACGGCATGGCGACCTAAGTGTTTCCCACTGAAACCACGGAGAAAGTTGGACATCATCTTGGCCACCTGGTTGAAAGGTTGGTTTCTTCAACTGTTTCTTCAACAACACCTCGACAAACACACCAATCAAGAAGTCATCATCGGGCACTTTCGGCACTACTTTCGGGCTTCCATAGTTGAATTGGCCGCCCAAGGCTTGCAAGAAGCCGAAGAAAGGCGATTCCGTGAAGACTAAAAATGGACTCGCCCCGGGAAAGACCATGAAGCTCACCTCATGGGGGACAATCCGCCAGGGTCCCAACTCATGGACATATGCGCCACATATTCACCCCCAACCGCTTTTGGCTATCCAAGCTCGCTGCTCACTGCAGGTTGTTTCTCCGCGACGACCTCAGCGAACACCAAGTACTTGAGCGTCAGAGGGTCGAAGGACCGCTGCATGTTGCCAGTCAAACTCTCCCTATTACAAAGTGTTGACGATCTTTGACGATCAAACCCTTTGCCACTCAGGACTTCGCGACTCAGGTATTCCATTCCCAACCGTACAGCTCTGCCTGCCAGAGCGCAGGTGTTGAGAAGGGACGTTTCGTCTCCCCTGAGTGTGGAGAGCATATGGCCGGTCTTCGACTCAGCGTTCAAGGGAACCCAACAGTTCAACCCAGCACTTCAACCCACCGCTTCAACCAATTGGCTTCAGGATTGCCTATTCACTGGTCCAATCCCAAGACTGGCTTGGTTGACATGGACCTCAGCAAGGCTTTCCCTTGGATGTCGGAAGTTGAGGCCTAGTGGGTGAGTTTTATGAGCTGGAGTCAACTTGCCAAAGTCTAGAGTGAACTTATTGTAATATATATATATATATATCATATCGTGTTTTTGCGTGAACATATCATATTCCTGTCTCAGGCCCCCAGAAAGCACAAAGCTGTGAGCCTTTTTGCGGGGATCTTGGGGTTGGACCTCGCGATCATGCCGTTGGGTTCTCAGGCATTGAAGTTCTGAGGCAATTGCAAGGTTGGGTGAATTGACTTGGTGGTGAGGTATGCAGAATCCGTGGCCTTCGCACGATCCTCAAACTCTTAAGTTGAAATTCTGTGGGCATCTCCCCAACCTTCCTATGGCTTTGATAAGGTAGAACGTGATCCGTTCTGCCAGAAGGTGATTTCCGGCAGAATCCAGGACGGTTTTTACAAGTCTTCTTGCACCATCCACGACAACGTGGAGACCTTCGAACTGAAGCATC